AATGGTGTCTGCGAGCTCATGGATTATTTGGTGACAGTCTTCATGGAGGAGTTCTCAAATTTTTTCAACGTTTTCTGTCGTTTTGCTGGTGCTTGATTGCCCTGAACACATNCCTGGTTCCAACAGCAGCCCAAAGAATTTTATGCTGCTGGTTTTCAGGGACTTGTGAAATGATGGGACAAGTGCTTCAATGTACAGGGAGATTATGTTGAGAAATAAAAGCATTTTTCAAATCAGTACTCTTATTTGTTTAAGTTCTATATCCATTTGTAACTTACTCATTGACTTACCCTCGTATAACATATTCTCTGTATCTGCTTATCAGCAGCTGATATTCAAGAATTCTTCTTGGAGATAACCCTTAATAAGTAAGTAATTCAGTTAACACTTTGCGGACCGGTGGCATATTTTTATGCCCAGCGCTTTTAAACATGGTGGACCGGTGGCATATTACTAAGGGCGTTCCGTATATAATGCCTCCTATTTTTTTAAAGAAAACTACAACAGATACAGAAATCATAATAATGCAGTTAAATAGAGCAAGATTTCAGCTACTTACAGCTATTTTTTCCACATAATCACCACCATTCTTTATGCACTTTCGCCATCGATGAACAAGAGCCTGTATGCCGCACCCGTAAAAGTCTGCGCCAGGAGAGGCTAGCCACTTTCTTACAGCTGCAATGACAGCATCATTGTCTGGAAAATGTTGCCCATGTAGTCCGTCTTTCATAGGCCCAAAGAGATGGAAGTCTGAAGGTGCTAAATCGGGGCTATAAGGTGGATGTGGTAGGACAGTCCAGTCAAACTTTGCAATGTGCGCGGTGGTCACCAAACTGGTATGGGGTCTAGTGTTATCATGTTGCAAGCAAAAGGTTGTCTGCTTCTCTGGCCTGACTAGGGAAATATGGGCCTTCAGCTTAGTCAGCGTCGTCTTGTAGCGTTCAGAATTGACAGACTCACCAGGCTCCAGGAAATCCAAAAAAATCACACCCCGCCTATCCCAAAAGACCGTGCACATCACTTTCCCTACTGATGGCTGTGTCTTGAATTTCTTTTTTCTTGGGGAATCCGGATGTCGCCACTCCATGGACTGACTTTTGGATTCCGGCTCATAGTGGTGACACCACGTCTCATCTCCGGTGACAATGCTGTCCAGAAACTTGTCACCTTCAGCTTGAAACTGGTGCAACAGATCCTGGCAGACTTCCATTCGATGAGTTTTGTGGTCCTGTGTAAGCATCCACGGGACCCACTTTGCGATAATCCAGCTTCACCAACATCGTTTCCAGTGCATTACAGACGATATTAAGCCGTGAACACGGTTCCTTGGTCATTATCCACCGATCTGAACGGATGAGCTGATCGAGGGGCTGTTCATTGGGAGGAGTAGCAGCTGAGCAGGAATGCCCAGGGTGTGGCTTGTCATGCACTTCACTTTCACCACTGTTGAAACGCACTACCCACTGCTTCACTGTGCTGACATCAACTGTATCGTCTCCGTACACCTTTAGCAAGCGTCGATTGATGTCAATGGCTGCAATTTGTTCAGCAGTGAGAAATTCAATAACACATCTCTGTTTCGTACGCACTTCTATGTCAGATGCCATTTTGGTAGACTGCTCTGCTGTCGCTATCTGCTGCACGACAACCAAACTAACAGTACATTGGCGGGAAGGTTCAAACTTTACTACAACACCACCAACATCCAGCTCAGACGTTACATATTAACACAAAAAAATAGGAGGCATTATATATGGAACACACCACGTATTATGATTTTAGGACACGTTAGATTGTAACACACTATACCTTTCTCTGGCGCCACTCAAATGAAATGACTACTGTGTAATATTATTCCGGAATATTTGCTTAGTAGGCAGTAACTTGATCTCACTGTTTTGGTTCCCCCTCCAAAGGAAAATGATCTTTGACCCTTCATGCTCTTATGTACCAGGCAGGAAGTTAGTAGTGCTATGAGTCAAGGACAGAAGCAGTTGAAAACCAAGCAATATCTGACTTGTTCTCCGACGATGAGCTATATGACGGTCCTTCTGAGACGTGTAGTGATAGTGAATCAGACAGCGGCAGTGACACGGGACAACAAACAATTGTGGCCACAGACAATAACAGTGAAAGTAGCTCCAACAAAAGTGCAGGTAGTAAAATTGCAGGGACAGCCACATGGGGAAAAGTACACAAAACGCCTACTTTGGGATAGTTTACTGGAAATCCAGGGGTGAAACAAATTCCATCAGACCCAATGCAAGTTCCTGAAGTAGCAGAACTGTTTTTTTGGAGACAGGGATACTCGTGTTGCGAATATGATTTCCACAATTTACAATTCGAGCAGGGTTGATGTTCAAAGGAGACATGGACAAGTTGAGAAGTCTATTTGTATTTCTGAGTATAATATGTTCATGAAGGGAGTTGATAGAGCCTATCAATACTTGGCCTATTATTCTCTTCCTACGAAAATAATAAAGTGGACAAAGAAAGTTGCCTTGTGGCTTATAAATCGTGCCATTTTCAATTCATTTTTGGTTTACAAAAATCTAAACCCTGATTCGAAATTGAAATACAAAGCATTTCTGATGCATGTGGCAAAGGCCTGGGCTACAGACCAGATGGTGGTGGCAGAACCAGAGTCAGGAACAGACTTAGTACAACCGGGCCCATCAACTCCCACCCCACACAGGCCTCATGTGGACTCCCAGGGAGACTCTCGGGTGATATGCAGAAACATACCCTTTTGAAAATTGTGAAGAGTGAACACTCCAACAGGAAGCATTCTTCTAGGAAATGCTGTGTTTGCACAGTTCANCTGGAAATCCAGGGGTGAAACAAATTCCATCGGACCCAATGCAAGTTCGTGAAGTAGAAGAACTGTTTTTTGAAGATAGGGATACTCCTGTTGTGAATATGATTTCCACAATTCACAATTCGAGCATGGTTGATGTTCAAAGGAGACATGGGCAAGTA